TTCGATGAAGATGTCTCTGGACAAGTTGGCTGAGATATATACCCGTGGGATCATCCGACTCCACGGAGTGACCGTCACTATTGTATCAGACAGAGATCCCAGATTCGTCAGTCGATTCTGGCACAGTTTACATGAAGCGATGGGCACGAAGCTAGAGTTCAGTTCAGCCTACCATCCGGAGACAGACGGACAGTCAGAGAGGACTATTCAGACACTTGAAGATATGCTTCGCGCTTTGGTTGTTGACAGGGGTGCTAAGTGGGAGTCGTTGTTGCCGTACGCCGAGTTCGCGTATAACAACAGCTATCATTCTTCCATTCAGATGGCTCCTTACGAGGCACTTTATGGTCGTAAGTGTCGTTCCACTCTCTATTGGGACGACGTTGGGGAGCGACGAGTACTCGGTCCTAAGATGATCGAGGAGACAGCGGAGCAGGTCGAATTGATCCGGCAGAGACTCAGGACAGCTCAGAGTCGGCAGAAATCTTCCGCCGATCAGCATCGACGAGACATTCAGTTTGAGGTTGGCGAGCCAGCCTTTCTTAGAGTTTTCCGATTCGCGGAGTTGTACGATTCGGAAAGAGAGGGAAGCTGCACCCTCGTTTCATCGGTCCGTTCGAGGTTCTCGAGCGAGTAGGCAAGGTCGCGTATCGTTTAGCCCTACCTCCCGAGTTATCAGGTATTCATAATGTTTTCCACGCATCTATGTTAAGTAAGTACGTGTGCGACCCCGATCATGTCATTCCTCTCACAGATATTCAGGTTCAGCCAGATCTATCGTACGAGGAGCGACCGGTAGCTGTACTAGACCGTCAGGTCCGTCGGCTCCGGAAGCGAGATATTCCCCTCGTGCGCATTCAGTGGGATCGCCACGGAGCTACTTGGGAGGAAGAGTCCGATATTCGCGCCCGTTTCCCAGATTTTCAGTTTTGATGTACATATTTTCTTATCTTATGTATATAGTTCATGTATTCTCAGTTATGTTCTGAATTTCCGAGGACGGAAATTTTGTAAGGAGGGAGGATTGTAATATCCCGACATTTTATCGGTATAAATTATGTTTTGATTCCGATATAATAATGTTAACGTTTATTATATTCGGAATTAATTAATTTCAGTCGAGATTACCGAAATTTATTTTCGACGTACCGTTTACGTTCGGAATAATTTTGGTAATTAACTGTTTAATTAAATAATTAAACATAAATTAAGTGATTAATTATTATTAATCATGTTATTAGAGGTCAAAGCCGTGAAAGTCATAGCAATTGTCCCAATTTTGGGCTAAGGCCGTACTATATATATATAAAGGTTCTAAGTTCCTAATTTCCTAAGTCTTAAGGGAAATTTCTCTCTTCCACTCAATCAAGCAAGTACACGTGTCTTCATGGGAGGGGAGGATTGGGAGATTAGTCATCTATATCGTGGTCATTAGATAGCAAGTGGCAAGAGTCTAGGAAGGCCACGCACCAACCATGTCATCACCATCCTTTTCGTCACCTAGTATATAAGCGTGGGGTTGGGGTGAATTTTTCCCCCATTTTTCCTAAGACATATGCAGCATATTACCCCCTCTATGCGATCAGCCTTATACCATCTCCTTCAGCAGCAAGTATCTCTAATTAATCCCTCAATTCCTCATACTATCGCACGGCAAATCGCACGGCAAGTCGCGCACGCACGGAGTAAGAAGAGCTTGAGTAATTGGGGTGTTTCGATCGAGTAATTGAAGAGGTAACTTCCTCTTCAGTTTCTATTCATGTTAGTAAGGTCATTTCAAGGTTAATTGTTCGAGTTAGTTTCAGAAATTCTTAAGAAAGTTCATGCTGAACTCTGTTAGGGCATGTTAGTTCTATACCGAGTTAAGTTCAAATTTTTTCAGCAAGTCATGAGCATTTTTGGTTTCTTCAGCTTTTATTTAAAGTATAGTATTCA